AGCTCTCAATGTGAGTTCAATACCTGGTTAAGGCGGTGGAGAACTTGGAGAGGGGAATTAACAGGAGATGGCACGTGGAACTAGAACAGTCTACCCCAGCAAGTGAAATAAAGGGTTCAGTTCAACATTCCAACCGCCTGAAGAAGGCCGGAGCATACAACAGCTGAAACATTGTGATAAATATGGCGACAAAGATGATGAGGATGATAGTCCGAACAATGTAAGTAGTGTACATAATACCTCATCTCAGAAATAGACAGATAATTAAAACATCCTTCTAAAGCCGTAAACAAACATCAGTAGTAAAGATCTTAAATTGACGTGTTTATTTCCAGTCCTTAATTCTGGGGTTTGTTAAAAAAAATGGTGGCATCATTTATGTATGGATCAGCAGTTATGTTTAGGTTCAGAGTGGATATCATGATGTGTTTTATGTATATGGGAAGGGAGGGGTTGACATTAACATTATTTATTTATTTATTTTTTTTTTTTTTTTAATGAGTTGGTAAAGCAAAATTGATTTAATCATTTTAATTGACAAAACAAATTCATCTTTTGGAATCTCACGATGCACAAAACTAGGAGGTATTTTCATGCAAAAATTCCTTAAAGTACCTTTTTAATATTTTATTCTGATAGAAGTCTTTGATTATTTTGAGGAAATTGTTTTAGATAACTATTCATACTATTACGGCTGTGGAGTTGGAATCAGAAGCAATTAAGGGGTCACTGGAGTTGGAAAAACTATACAGACACCAGGTGAATTTACAATTTATATAAAAAGTCTTACATTATTATAGCATTTTTATTTCTATTTCTTGTATATCCTTTCAAAGATTGTCTCTAATTCTGTTAGAAAATATTGAAGAATGAATAGTTATGATATAAAAGCCAAAATATCTTTATTGTTTGATCTAAACCAATTATAATGATATAGGCCTACTCAAGTTAGAAGTGTATGCATAGGCTTTATGAGATTTGTAGGCCATAGTCACTTAATTACATGAAGAGGAGTCATAGTCAGAGGTGCCAAGAATAGAGGAATCAGAGTTGAAGGTTTTGTATTCAGACTCCACAGCCCTGCTTACTATTATTCTAAGTTGATTTTTTTTTTTTATTCAATGTTACTTATTATGACAACATTATTCTTCAACTGACTCCATGAACATGAAGTTAAGAAATTGTTGTACGGTTTCAATTTCACACGTTGGGAAGCCTGCCTTTCATAGGTGCTGCTTTAACTAGTTCAGCTACAAAAGAGAAATACAAATCTATACAGGATGTCCCAGAATTATTAGGTTGGTGCAAAAATAATGTCGTTTTCTCACATATGTTACTTTTATATATGATTTCTGAATTAATTCATTGAGATATATATATATATATATATATATATATATATATATATATATATGAAGTCAAATTGCACCAAAAAAAGGTTATGGTGACTGTTTGGTGGTCTGGCGTCTCTCATCCATGTTATATATCATTTTGAAGTGTTTTTTTCGCTCTATCGAATCGTGTTATTCGCTACCGCTCTCAATCTCTCCATTCATTTTTTGCAGGCTTTTTTCACAGCATGGACAAAATTCAAATCCGCACGTGTTTCTTGTTCCAGTTCAAACTAGGGAAAAAAGCTGCCGAGACAGCTCGTGATATCAATGATGTATTTTGTCCCAGGAACCACTAACTAACGTGTGGCACAACGGTGGTTCAAGAAATTTCGCAATGGTGACGAGAGCCTCGAAGATGAAGACAGTTGCGGCCGGCCGACTGTGGTTGACAATGAACATTTGAAAGCCTTAATTGAAGCCGATCCTCGCAAAACCACACGTGAAGTTGCTGTTGAACTTCGAGGTCGACCACTCAACAGTCGTTCGCCATTTAAAGCAAATAGGGAAGTCAAAAAAAGTTGGATAAATGGGTGCCGCATGAATTGAACGATAATAAAAAAAATTGTCGCTTTGAGGTGTCTTCTCTCACGCCATTCTGCGCAACAAAAATGACCCATTTCTTGAGCGGATTGTGACGGTAATGAGAAGTGGATCCTCTCACGACAACCCGCGACATTCGCACAGTGGTTGGATGCCAGAGAAGCTCCACAACACTTCCTGAAGCCGAAAATTGCACCAAAAAGGTTATGGTGACTGTTTGGTGGTCTGCAGCCGGTCTCATCCATCACAGCTTCTTGAATCCGGGCAAACGACACGGTGGAGAAGTACTGCCGACAAATTGACGAAATGCACCAGAAGCTCCAACGTATGTGCCCGAGATTGGTCAATATGAAGGACCAATTCTCCTCCATGGCAACGCCCGCATGTTGCTCAACTGACCCTGCAGAAGCTGAACGAATTGGCTACGACTGCCTCATCCGCCATATTCACCGGACCTCTATTGCCCACCGATTATCACTTTTTCAAGCATCTCGACAACTTCCTGCATGAAAAATGCTTCAAAAGCCGAGATGATGCTGAATCAGCCTTCAATGACTTCATCGCTTCCAGAACCCCGGATTTCTATGCTAATGGGATAAATAAACTTGTTTCTCGTTGGCAAAAATGTGTCGATTCTAATGGTTCTTATTTCGATTAATAAAGTTTATTATGAAAGGAGTTATGATCTTTTGAAGTTGAACGTCAAAAAACGACATTATTTTTGCACCAACCTAATAGCTATTTCAGTGAAAAAAATTCACTTATTTCTGTTGATGATGTTTAATGTGTTAGAAGAGGATAAACTTATAATTTTCATTCCCTTTCAGGACTATTATTAATAAATACCCAAGAACAGATTTATTTGCATGGGGTTTCATAAAAACGAAGGTTTATTACAAAAAGATCAATAGTTTAGCTGAGGTTAAAGAACACATTCACTTAGCAGTTTGAGGGATAAACACTGAAATGCTTCAAAATGCGTTTTCTAATGCTAACAATAGATTCGAAATTTGCAGGGCTACAGACAGAGCACATATTAAATGTTTTCACAGATTGCGATTTAATGTTAAAAAAAAAAAAAAAAATTTATTCAGTATAATTATTGTTTAGGTAATAAGCATTATAACACAGACAAATTGCTATATTGTGGGAAAAGAAATTTTCAACAATATACACATTTTTTATGCATTTATGGTTATTTTTTTTAACTTTTATCAAAAACAACATTCTTGTACATGTAGTTATGGATAATATTATACATTAATTACTAATTTTTTTAATTAATAACTATTTGTGCTCAGTTGTTGAAATTAATAGCTATCTGCTGAAGTGTTATAATTTTAGAATAATGCAATAATAAAAATTTAAATTTCATCTCTGATGTTGCGATCTGTCAAAATTTTGACGTAAGAGTCAAATCTATTTGTTTTATATCCTAATTAAGTAATAAATAAACATAAAATAGTTTTTTTTTTTTTATATCTGACCTATTTCATTGAAATAGATCGTCCATTCTGAGACACCATGTACATATTCTGCCAATTTCTCCATTCCAATTCTTATGCTGTCCATTTTGTCTAGTAATAATTTTTTTTTTTTTTTATAAGTGTTGTGATAAAAAGCACCAACAATAATCAAATGATACAGTAAATAAGATTAGAAATATCAGTGAAAAAAAAAAAAAAAAAAAAATACAACACTTTGCATCTGACAGAGATACATTAACACTATTTACATTTTTCAGGCTGTTGTCCTTATCCGTGTTCATCCACAATGTTTTGGCCTTCTTGATTGGAATTTCAAACCAAACGTTTTGTTTTGTCATTCCATGTGCCAGGCCTCTTCCACCATTCCACATGCCATGCCTCTTATGGATCTCTCCGATTCAGTTATTTCTCTTTATTAACTAGAATATCCAAGTTTTTATTCACCTTTGCCGTGACCAAGTATTGAGAACACAACTCAGAACTCTTTGGCTCGAGTCACTGGATTACTTCAACCAACGATTTTATCCACTGGGCCAGGTGTCCTTGAGAACATCGGTGTAGGAATTACTGGGGCTTATAAAGCTAATGTCTCAATCTTCATTTATTTATCAGAACTCATATTACAATTTGTTATTTTTTTTTTCTCTAGCACTCCGTATTACTGGTTCCCATATTGTCAATGCTTGGCCGGCTTAGGAGATTTTTGTGGCCTAGCATATGTGCTGATTCCTTAAGTCCGAACAATGTAAATAGTGTAACTAGTTACAATATCTTATCTCAGAAACATAAACAGACAAAGATATATTAATTACGTAGAAAGAAGCAAACTGTTGGAATTTGAAATTTGGACATTAATTCCAAGAATCAAATCAAGGAATTAGAAAATAAAAGATGGTAAGTGTGTGGAATATAATGAAGAAATGACAGTGTTATTAAATATAAGTTTACTAATAAAATGTTTCGGAACTATTATGCTGGATGAAAGAAAGAATGGGGGTGGTAATGGGATATATTCATACATGTACTTGCTAATTGAAAGTCGTAACGACGACCTGTCAGTTATTAAGTTTGTTGTCATGCTTTTCAGAATATTCAAATGGGACATGCTGATTTTAATTGCATAGCCCTGAAGATATATTGTCCTTGAAAGTGGTAGATATTTGAAGAAAAATAGGTGCACCAACCAAGTAACTCTTGTGCTTACTCAAAGGTCATCAAAGACTGCATAGCACCTATCCAACTGCCTACATTATAGACAAATCAACTATACACAGGTAAATCAATAAGCCTGTAGTCTAATAATGATATAAAAAAAAAAATTAAAAAAAAATGCTTTTACTTTACACAAATATTTATTTTTCAACACTCTCACACAGTGTCAATGCACTTCACCCAATGACTCTCCAGCTTCTACGACCCAGTTCTGTAACGTATCCTCTGTACTGGTGCAGCCACGGGAAAGTTCGGCGTACCACGCCTTGACCATGGCAAAACAAGGGGCATTATCAGCAAGTGCTGAAACCAGTTCTGCATGTGCTTCTTTCTCTGTTAAGCCTTTCAGTTTAAAATATTTGATAACAGCACGAATCTCTAAAAACTCCATTGGTTACAAAATTTGGCAGGATCTGAAATTTTTAAAAGACATTATTAAGATAACAAGTAGAGGCCATTAATGATATCATTTCAACATTAGGCATGAAAATGTCAGATCAAAAGTCAATATCGATATTTAGGTCAGTTAATATCAGGTCGTACAAATACTGATCCATCGTTGTATATAGAATTATTAATAAACGAGATTATTTAACAATGTAATAATAAAAAATATAGAAATTAACAGGATAAATATTTTTCATATACAGACATTGAAATTTCACCAGAAGCAGAATAATGAGAAACTAAAAAAGAAAGTAAAATAGCCAATTAAAATAGTCAATAAGTAACTACAAAAAAGTATTCTTTTCCTTTTAGAAAATTAATCTTAAAATTGAATTTAGCATGAAACTGAAAACTAATGAAAATATCAATTATATCTTGTTTTAAAGCAAAGCCGTTATGCAGGATGTGCGGGTGGTGTAATGAATATCAGCTTCGAATGAGAAATGAGAGCCAAGTTCAAATTCCAGTCAGATTCATTACATTCTCTTATGCACAAATAACCTTGAGAAAAGTATGAATCCATCTCTTCTCCCCCAGCTATTGGTTACATAGTAGGACAGATCAGGTCCTTTAGCCTTGGTTGGCAACCAGTCTACCATAGAAAGAAACAGCAACCTACTGCAGGAAAATCTTCTACCTAGTCAGTCATGAATCAAAAGAGGTATGATCGCCCAAGTGTGTATCTCATATGGCACTTAATTGACCGAGTCATACAGATCTTGTTAAAGACAAGGAAGGTTTTGTTATTCGAACTAAAATTTACAGAGGTTTTTTATTTATCATGTGCATGCATGGTGGGGAAAAAAGGAAATCTAAAATCAGGAATGGAACTTCTTATGACAGTGATTCCCAAAGTGGGTAGCTGGAGGGTATCAGCAGTACATCTGAGTGCGCGCACAGACACACACACAGTAGCGTGGCATGTTCTCAATGTACTAAAATGTCAAATTCTGTGTTCTTCTCGGATGGTAAATACCAATTTTCCATTTTTGTTTCAAAATTGTAAGAACACGTAAAAACAGAGATTTGTGTAAACAGTAATTATATATATATATATATATATATATATATATATATATATATATATGTGTGTGTGTATAAATATATAGGAAAAGAACTTGTTAGGTAAATAATCCAAAGTTCTTTAGTATTTTTTTGTTATTATTTTAAAAATAGTGCTCGATACAAAAGTAGAGCATAAATATAATTATTTATTTAAAATATGATTCCATTGCTACACTCTTATGTAGCGATGGAATCATATTTTTAAATAAATAATTATATATATATATATATATATATATATATATATATATATATATATAATTATTTATTTAAAAATATGATTCCAAATTATGTAGCTTACTTTAACTCAATTTAATTTAAATAATTATATTGAAGTTTTCAGCTCTTGTTTTGAAACACGAGACTTCTTATGTCATGATTTGGAATCATATTTTTAAATAAATAATTATATTTATGCTCTACTTTTGTATCGAGCACTATTTTTTTAAAATAATAACTAAAATACTAAGGGACTTTGGATTATTTACCTAACCAGTTCCTTCCTATTTTCTATATATTTATACACATTATATCTATATATATATATATATATATATATATATATATATATATATATATATATACACACACACACACACATACACACATAAGGCATCTTTCATTTTTTTTTTTTTTTTGTGCTTCAGTGATTTCTGATGATCCACAAGCATGTCCCTCACAGTCTAATATACAGTGTGTTGACAAAAACTGCAAAATAATTTATTGCTATTACAATAAAAATCATTATGGAAAGCTGGCTCTTCAGATGTGTATTTTGCCAAAAGTGTGCACCCACCAAGTCTGCTAGTTTTTTTGTTTTTTTTTTTTACTGTGAAAGATAATCAAACGAGCATTTAAAGATATAATTACTAAACAAACAATATTTATTTTTACTACTCTTGATGGCATGTGCCATGCTAGTCATATGTTTATATCGCACGTGGGTATTTGCCCTGCAGTGATCAAAGCTGATCAGTTTGGACAGGTTAATATCATGAATTTGGTTATGGCCCCATGTTATTCATAGAATGAGATGTTGCAGCAATATAGGTCATAGCGCTTGTGCCGATTTTACTGTGTATTGTGAATTTAAGCAAAATGATGATTCTGTAGAGTTCCAGCTCGGGAATTTTACATTTTACTGTCTAGTATCAAAAATCCTGTTTTCTACTTTATTCCCATGTTTTTGTGTTTTTTTTTTTTTGGTATCGGCTTTTATTCTTTGATACCATGTTTTCGATACAGTTTTTTAGTTTTTAATTTAGTATTTTCAACTTCTAAGAAAGCTATTCATTTTCTTGTGTAATGATAGCATTTTCAGTCAATATCTGATTTCGTTTGACATTGATAAATTTGCAACTCGCAAACTCTTGTGTTTCTGGTCCAATCTTATTCATATGACTGGAAAGAAAATAAAATAATCTTTCTAAATATGTAATTTGTATGTGCTTTTATTCATTGAATTATGTTTTTACAGCGAGTTACAACAGTATTTTGCTTCAAACAGCTGAAAATGTGAAATACATATATATATTTTTTTTTTTTTGAGACTAAATTTTAAGTTATTTTGTTCCGCAAAATCTATGTGACCAATCTTTATCAATATTCTCGAAATTGTACACCCAAACTTCTAATTTAGAACACACCTTAAGCTACAACCAGGAAGATGTTTATATCTCTGACCTGTGAAAGCAAATTCCTTCAAAAATTATAAAATAAACAGTGGAGGAAAAATAAATAAATAAAAAAAGGATTAACTGATAGTATGTGTGGCAAAAGAACATTCAAATCATTGAAACTAATGTCTTGTTACATAAAATAAACGCCTTATATACTTTTCAACTTTTGAGTTGTTTTTAGAAGTCTGTTAACTGGTGCATGAAGGGTCAATATTTGGTTTTAAAAAGGTAATAAAAATTTACAGGTATGCGTTAAAGACCATTGGAATTGAAAACCCAAAAACCGTGAATCAGGGTGGGTAATAAGGTAGGGATTGTTTGCATAAAGTCAGTTTTTAGGCTTTAAAGGTAATTTAGTCATAAAATTCATGACTTGGATCAAAGTTTATTAAACTTTCAAATAAATTGTCAACTATAAATAATTACCATATTTATTAACAAACTAGCAGTAGAGCCCGGCGTTGCCCGGGGATGTAACAGTAAGAGATAGATCAATATTGACCATCATAAAGACTGAAAAATAAAATTGACAAAGATTATTGTTTAAGGTTGACGGACACGCATGTCTTAATTATTTTTTTTTTTTTTTTACGAATTGGTCAAATCCAAACAAAAACATTGTTTTCAATCGTTATGAGTCTATCGATTGAATAGAATTTTATTATAAACAATTGTCTTGTAAATGGAATTTTTAAAGCATTCTGAATGTAAAAATAAAGAAAAATGTGTGCAAGACAATAAGAAACACTACCTGCCAAAAAAAAAGTGAAGTTTTGTTGAAATGGGTTGAAAAATGTAGGAAATCCAATCCCATGTATAAACGAACACACACACACACAAACAACCTGGGTTTTATAATAAGTATAACTCTATATGAGTTGTCTCCCTTTCATTCTGGTGACAGAATTGTGTTTTATCGTGTTTTCAAATTGATTTTGTGCAAAAACAATTGTTTTTTCAATTTTTGGTGCTGTCAGAACCACCGCAAGGTAATTTTACGTAGTCCTGTGAAGTTTTGTTGAAATCAGTTGAAAAATGTAGGAAATCCAATCCAATATATAAACGTACAGACACATACTTATTATAAAACGCAGATTGTGTGTAAGATTCGTAAAATATGAAAGAAATCGTTGCATAAAATATCTATATTTGTGTCTTTGGACAACACATTTTTGAGAGAGAAAATAAAATGGTATAGCTCTCCAGAAATTAGTTTATGACGTGGCTTTTAAAAAGCCAAAAAATGAAACCCCTCATGTTTAAAATAATTAGAAATATGAAAATTCTTATCTGGTACACTAGTTAACTGTTATTGGGGTTTTTACAAATAAATTTCTTCTAAACAAGGAAAATCAAGGAGTCATTTTAGCCCCTAAATGTTTTTATCTAGCAAATACTACACCTAAAATTAAATATTAAAAATAATTAAAAGCTTTTAATTTTATTTTTATGTGTATATTTCCAAATCTGTCAGTAGCATCTGTTCTTTACACATTTTAAAACTGAAATTAAAAACTATTTTATAATCATTTTAATATATAATCTTAAGTGTATTCGTTAGATAAAACCATAAAGATATTTGTAAAAATAAAATTAATTAATTTTCCTTGTTTAGAAGAATTTTACAGGCAGAACACCCACTGAACACTAGTAGCTAAAAAAGAATTTTTACTTTGGGTTTAAAACAAAATGACTTACAGTTTTGAAAATATACATGTTTTTAAAATGGAGACTAAAATTTACTTTATTTTTTTTAATAACTAATTTTAGGTGTATTTGCTAGATAGAAAATTTTATTTGTAGAAAACAATTTTACATTAGAGACTTGCATATCTGGAAATATACACAATTTAAAAGCGAAATTAAGAACTATTTTTTTATTCTTATCTAGTTTAGGTGCTTTATTTATTAAAAAAGATCTTCATTTTTCTTGTTTAGTTTACGACAACTTATTTTGTAATTGGTGTATTGGCTTACTAGAAAATAATTACCAAAAATCCAACTTCATAACATTAAGACGAAACTAGCAACTAATTTTTTATTTTTACTCACTATTTTGTTGTTAACTTAATTTTACCACAAATTTTTTTTTTTTTTTTTTGGAAAACTGAAAACAAATATTTTCTTTTTTCAGACATCATGTCACATTTCCTTTTTTTTCTGTTTGAAAACATGATTTCCAAGTGTCATATCTGTCTTATTTTCTTCATTTCTTTGGTAAA